TTTAAATGCACTTGATGCAAAGTCCCAACGGACCAAAATTATTTTCACTGAGTGACGTGTGTGGTGGTCGCCATGATGGAGTCGAATGATCTTCGCTAATTATCCCACAAGAATGTCTGCAGCATTTTACCACCCTGTAAATTTTTGGTGTTTTATGGAAATCTCCTCATTTCACCAAAAAAATACTATCCAGTTTTTGAGGATCTGCTGATAGCACTGAGAAATCGAGATGAGATACCAATGGTGATCGAGCTGCGATCGAGACTTCCAATATACCCATATTTCATTACATTATATTCCTATGTTACTCACGTCAATTTTCTCTACACGATCTGGATACAACACAACCAGTGGAGTATTTAGTATACAATTATTTTGTTTCATGAGGCATTCTTGTAGTAAGTTGGGAACTAGAGGTCATTGTAGAGTTGTCAAAATAATGTCCAAGGTTATAATTAAAGAAAAGCGCTCAGAGGAGTTTCAAAGTCTCGTTATCATGTGATTGAACCCGGGCACGCCTTCTCCTGTTTAAGAAACAAACACATAACCATGAACCACACACTCAATTAAAACTTTAGAAGCTTAGCATTGCATAACTGAAAATAATTCGTGCTTCAGATTCCTATTTAAGGAAACTTAAAGCAGGTACAAGCTGTTTATGAATTCGGCCATCATAGGGCTTTAGATTGGAGAGATTAAAACTGGAAATAAACTGACGTAAATAATGTATAGTCTTTAGGCATATTATACTTTACTGGGTTCCTAATCTACAAAGAAATTCGATTATTAAGATGTTTGAGATTTTTAGAAAACTAAGTATTTTTTGGTGCGTTACTAAGCCAAGAGAGACAATGCGCAGGTCTCGCCTACACATAAGAGACACAGACGTCTGGTCGTATTTCTGCAGTCAGAAATGCAAATAGATAAAACGCAATTCACAGAGTTTGGCAACGTTGTCTTTGTTCAAGCTCCCTTGTATGACCAAGAATCAGGTGAGAGCCGATTCATTAGCTCACGATGAAATACCAGTTTGTTCCGATTTTAAGTAAGATAAATGGTGGAGTCCTGCTAATAGCGACAAATTATTTCACATAATGTGTAGACTTGGTTTATTACCACAGTGATATTTGAAATCATACTTACCTTTCAGACAAACAAATTTATCCAATTCTACCTCGTTTTTTCTTGCACTGAATAGAAGGTTTCAATGTACTTCCATGTGTTATTTTATTTACAATGTTTTAGTCTTCGAAACGGTATGAAAACGGCATTCAATTCCATGTGCCAATTCAAAAGGTGAAACCTTCCTTGATAAGATTTGGCATTTAGATTTTTCAAAACACGTTGTTTATGGAAATTTCAATAGAGTCCTGCATTTATAGGCCATCGATTCGGTCACGTCACATGCTTAAAGATTGCACTTTAAGTAAATCACAGGGCTGGTAATGACAGAGTCGAATTAAATCAAATGTTTCGCTGTTTACAAAATATCTTAATTTAAATTTTGGGTTCCGCTTCTTCCTTAAGTGAGCTCTGCTGTGGCCTGGAATGCTAAGTTCATTCGACTTTATGCCCTCAAATTGGCCTCCTGGCCATTACAATGCAAAATGTATTACATGGCATCTAACAACTCGTTGTCAGAGTAAAAGTGACACCACTATCCATTTTTCTAATATAAAAATACTGGAAGATTTCAATTGAGTGGTTGCAAAATGCTTATTTTTTGTAGGAATAAATTATAAAAACGAGCCTGAGAACCATTAATTGCCACACCCTCACTTATGTCTTCATAACTTAACTTGAATTAAGCTCTTAAGTTCTTCAAATTCTGAGGAACTAAACGATGGCAGTATGATTTGGATTTCAAAAAAATTCCAATCGATAACTGTAGCATCGAGTGCTATGTTTCCCTTGGCCAAATTATAAAAATGGTATTTCCCATAAAATGTATTATTAGAGAACTAAGTGCCTAGTTGATGTGGGAGACAGAAAGAAGCAAACTGGGTCAAAATTGGAAACAAATCATGTCAGATATCTGAGTAAATGAGTTAATTTAGGCTGTTTTGTATATGCCCATCTAATTGGACCTTTGGTTAATTGCAGTACAACGAGTAGAAGGCTATTATGAGTACCGTAGTATCTAATATTTCATCTGTCAAAGACATAAAATATGGACAAAATCAATGATTTTTCCTACTAATGCAACGCATCTTCACTGGCATGCTACCAAAAAATGGACCCATTTAGTAAACATATTGATTCTATTCCTTCTATTAAAAAGAGAGAAAACTTTAGTAAATTCATAGTAAAAATATGCATTCAATAAATCCATTGGAAGGATCAAACCAAATTTGAATACTTTTCAGACATCGAATGGATGACCTCCTTAAAGCTCGTAGGAAACAATGGCCTCTTCGAATGTGAGGAACGAGAATTTAGGTTTTGCAGGCATATTGGAATTACTGGGAGAGGGAAATGGGGATAATGAGGATGGGGATGTGGGAAAAATAGTGGAATGCATTACCATTGAGGGTGAACAACCTGAGTTGTGATAGTCGAGTGGTATAAGATGGATTTTGAGGGATAGATCGGTTTTCCCCAGGGTCAGTTGTTGTGTTATCGTAATGGCAACCAATTCAAATGCCCAAAGATATAGGTAGGTCTTCGTCTTTTATTTGTTGAAAATGTACGCACACTGAGTGAGAATGACCAAAAAGTAAGTGAGGCGTTTCCTTTGTGACGGTTTTATGTGCAGTTACTCAAACGCAAGTACTCAAAATAAAACCCGATTTTAGTTGGAAAGTAAGTTAACCCATTCAGATAATAAAATAATTGCCTTTACCGTTTGATTTACCCATATAATGCAAATATCATAAAACTGTAAATGCCAAAAAAAACATGACAATTGCAGCAACAAACGACCAATAGTCTTCGATTTTATGACCGTTCAAATGTCTTCCATCCTGCTGTAAGTTATAGCTTCACTGGTCATGCAATTGAAAGGCATTACCTGTGACAGGTAAATGAATGCTCATCCAAACGAATATCGATTAATAAAGAGCTACAGTTTACTTTAAAAAGATATCATATACCTCTCAGAATGCCACAAAATTTTTTGGGTATTTATGGCTCAAAATAGAAAGAAGTTAAAGGAGGCAATAAGTCGTTTGCACAAAATTCACTGACGTAATTAAGATCATATAACGGTTGATTTGATTGGGATCTGCCTATATCGCCTTTAAAATTCCGAAAGGACATGCTAATTCACTCATATATGCCTAATCGAAAATATTTCTTGGTAACTGAACTTTACTAGATGATCATTTAAATAATAAAGAACGCAGAAGAATCAGTACAACTTCGTGTTTTGTAAGTAATCCTATTATTTTTTATTGACACGTCTTCCTGGTGAATTCACCTTTTAGTTCTACCCCCNNCCCCCCCCCCCCCCCCCCCCCCACCTCCTCTCAAATCTGCATTTGGCCTCAGATCCATCAGTTAACTTAAATACTTTCCGAATAACTTTTCAGTCAGATAGCTCAGTGAGAAGAGTTCAGTTCAATAGGCACTTCGATTAAAAATCAGATTCTCTCTCTCTCTCCCTCTCTAACGCATTTTTGATTCTAAAAGTACAGATAAATTGCTATCTATACTTTATGTTCCAACGTTACCTGGAGTGTGTTCTCAGCCCCCCCCCCCCACTTCAAGTAGTTTAGTCCTCTTTTGTTAACCAAAAGTACTAAAGAATCGAATGGATAAACTAACTTTCAAGGTATCAAGGAGTTTTGATTCAGTTGTTATTTAATTTTTGGTTTGGACTATGAAATATATACTAAATGAGTCGTTCATGTATCAAAATCCATGTCTCATGATTCGTGTCCTGAATTGGTGTTAATGCTTGACCCCAATGTTTAGTGCCAATTGATTGGCTATGGTTCGCTTTGCCTCTAGTGCATAAAAGCAAAATTATCTTGTATGGTATACAGATGCTGTGGAAACACCGTAATCTGCAAGCACTCAATGTTTCATTCGCTTATATCGTTTTTACGCGCATTTCTACTAGCAGTAAATTTAGTTAAATAAGACAACGAAATTTATCTGTGTAGACTTTGAAATTGCCTATTAAAAAATAAAATGACCTTTGTGGGAATAATTGCTTTCAACTCTATCCACCCGTTGATAGGTAACTTTTAAGCCGAACATGGGACGGTCAGCTCCGTAGAGCACTTATGAGTTCGGATAATAGGACTCGTAAGTACACCCATTTTAATTCACTCAATAGAGATTTTATTATCTTTGATATAAAGGACTGTTATTATGACGGGAAATTGGTTGAACTGAATTTACGAACTTGAGAGGAATAGTGGGGTAAGATGGCAAATACTGGATCAGATATACGAAGTGGAACCATGTTGGGTTGAAATAAATTATAGGAAAGGGAGGGGGGAGGACTTCTTTAATTCTCATGCCCCATTTTGTAGGCATAATGTGCACACTGCCTGAGCATGGCAAATTCATTAAGCTTGCAAATTTGGTTTTGCAGCGGGAAAGATGGTAGCTAGAAGCAGCCCGCAATTGATTAGCCATCACGTGTTTTGTAAGTTCAAGCGCTCTGATTGGCTAGGTGGCAGCACACATACACCCCACGCATATGCGTGTGCACGGACAAATCTACCCCTTGCTGTGCACGTACTTGTCTTGGTCTAATCCCTCTTCTCCCATCCTGATTCCCTGGAAAGTTAGCAGCTGTTCTGTGCGTGCGTGGTCCCGATTTACGTGCCCTGTAGGCACACCAGACATAACCAAAAACCCTCCTAAAGTAGAAGACGCGGAAGAAGATTAAATATACTTGAAGGGACGCCATACGGAGATTATACAAGGAGGAAAAAATTGTTAGCCATTTCAGTGGGCTAACCATCCTTGTGCCCTTCTTTCGAATTGGATTATTTTAAACCGCTCATATTAGCACTTTACAACTTGCGGATTATTTTGCACTCACAATGTCAACGAAGACTGTTGAGAAGGTTATTCAAATGAGGCAAGGGCCGCCATGGGGATTTCGTCTTTCAGACACATTCAATGGAAATTTAGTCGTCTCCCAAGTAAATACTGCGGATCTAACTTTGGCTTGATTTCTTCCTAAACACATTGAGTCGATTGAAATCCAATTCATTTTAACTGCTTAAATGCCTTTCTTAAAATTATATTATTTAGTGATTGGCAACTTTATTTGTTTCTTGCTGACAAGTGAGGATGAAAGATGGCAAGTTGTGTAGGAAATGCATTATGAATCGAAATTTAAACTCTCCAATACTTGGTTTCAATACCATCATCATTGACTGAAAGGGTTGACATTAAGAAACCATGCCTAAATATTCAGATGGCGCTCGTGTTATGAAGATGATTCAAAGATTAAACTTTATAGTCTTTTTTGTTAATATCCGTTGTGCGATTCTAACGCTCTACAGAGAGTGCTAAATGAACAAATAGTTGGAAAATTAGTATCACTTTCTATAATGCTTTTATGCCTTACACAACGATTGATATCAAATTAATTTTCATAATACAAAGAGAACAGCATTAAGAAAATTCACTCTTTTTTGTATATTTTGACTAGGTTCGACGACAAAGTCCAGCGGATGTAGCCGGTCTGCGTGAAAATGATATTGTTCTTGCCCTCAATAACTATCCAACCAGAGGACTAAACCGCTCCTATGCCATCGAGATCATCAACAGTTCCAAGTATGAGCTGGATCTAGTTGTTCAAAGGTAGATTTACAAATTCACTCATATTTTGCATTTGCATCTTTCGAAGATTTAAGCTAACTCGACCTTTTAAAAAAAAACTTACTATTTATATTCAAATAATAATCTGTATTGTTTCGTATTTTATGAAACTTTTAAATTCAAAATAAACTGCATATGCATATAGGTAAATGCAGTTATTAGCTTATAATATATTATGTATATGCTCATGGTTACCAACTCTATAGTAATAAGAGATTTTGCAAGAATTTCTTTAACATATACTTGTTGGCTAATCACACGAGAAAATGAATGAATTCAAAGGTACCACATCTTTTGTTAGACAAGAACGGCGAAAGCCACAAATGATGACCTTCTTCTTGGATACGAGTGCTGCTAGGGGTCAACTGGTACGTCAAGAGACGGCATCTCGTGACCTTGACATCTCCTGGCGGAAGGAGCCATCACCACCACCGCCACCTCCAGAACCACCTAGAATTCAACCTATAGACCCTAATATCACCCCCGTCTCTCTGGATCGCTTATTGAAGGAATATGATGCACCGAAGACCACTCCACCCGCTAAAAGTGAGCTCCATTTATTGCTTTTGCGCTAATTTGTTTCAATCGTAGCAACTTAAATATGTGCTATTGAGCTTTCAAGAACTAATCTGCTTATTTATGAAAAAGGCCATTAACCACAATATTTGGGTGGTTAAGGATATCTAGGTTTCAAATGGTCCTGAAAGTGTTTCCAACCACAAGGGTAATGCTACCCTCCTGTCTGGAAGGTAGACTTTCTCTTGCATGTATCGGCATCAGACTTTTGTCGTTATTCATAAATTAGCACTCCCAGCTTTAAAGTCATAACTGTCTGGGAAGTGCCAACAAGAATGACTGGCTTTTTGAAACTGACTGCAGTTAAACATCGTTCTGTTTGACCATAAATTAGTGTTAATAAATTTTAAGTGGACCAACGCATTCATTGTTAAAGAATAGTTGAGGCTATCTGGCGGACAGTGAAGTGTGATTTATGTAAATAAGTGCGTAACAATTAACAGAAAAGCAAGTCTAATCATTTAAACAGTCAAGAACTCACGCTTTGGAGTTTCATAAAAGTTACTTCCTCTAGTGTAAGAATGAGAAGATGTCATTTGTTCGGAAGATGGTTAAGCCAGGGACTTAAAATCACTTGCTCTAAAATTGAAGGACAGAGATTCCTCTTCCAAAAGACGCCGTAGGAAAAGCTATGCAATTATTTACTAGGTAAACGTATTTTTAATTGCAACGGAGATAACCTAATCACTTTGCTTCCCATTAGGCACAAATGCTTAAAAAAGGGCGTCTAGTTTACACAACTTTTGTTTTGATTTCTTTCCACAGCTTGAGCACTACCTTAAGCCTGGTGAATAGCATCTCACCTTACCTTACAGCCCTTGATAAAATATCAGGAAATTTGTTCTGTAACTTTATTCAAAAAGGAAATGTTCTGTTTGCCGCCTTGATCGTAACTTAATTTCAACTCAGTATTATAATTACATTTGCAAATCAGTGCCTTAATATGGACTTAAGAAAATAAAAGTAAGCAAATTAAAAAGAAACTTTGACTGAGTTAGGATACATTCGGTAGATGAGAAAATTGCTCAATTGTCAAATGCTTTTGAATAAAATAGCCGCCATTATTTTAGACCGCTCCTCGGGAGACCTCATAAAGTACTTCCATTACACCTATTAAATGGTTGGCTTTTGTAGTACTGGAAAAGAAATTAGTAACTTTCTCGAGACCGCCCAATGCATATCTAATAGTACATCGGGTTAGGATCTTGGAAGAGAGGGGATTTACGTGGTCGTAAAATATGCTGACACCAATTTTTGACTTTTCCTCGAAGTGCAGAAAGGATTCGAATTCCGCAGCCATGCATATGATCTATTAGTGACCACCCTCATCATCTAGCGCTAAATTGATACACCACCCAGTAATTTCACTTTGGCATCCGAATTCAACCTATTCCCCACTTTAAAATAAATGCAGAGGCGTTATAACATTATTGGGAAGGGCACGCATATTCGTAAAAAGATAATTCTTGCAATTCAATCTCTATGACTAGATGAGTGCAAATTTGAACTACATTCAAGTCAAACTATCAGTATTCCAAGCGTTGTGCCTCTAATCCTGACGATAGTCATCCCATTGGGAACGAACCAGAATCTCTGTGCTTGAGCAGAATATTTCCATATTCTCAAAAGTTCCTTTGTCTTTGTATGACGATTTCCGCGGTTCTTTTCCACTAGAAATTATCCTCTGTGAAGCTCTTACACAAGCTTGTGATACTGATGGCTTTCATTGTCTATCTTCATGGTAGTGGCTGAATCATTCACTTAACAGTGATATAATAGCTACAGTACCGATTCCAGTGAGTTGCAATACATTTGAACATATATTTCTCTAGTAATAACCTCATAGTCTCGACAAAAGTTAGCCAGTCCATGGTGGATCCTTTTTATAGTGCTTAGAGAGCATTTTAAGCAGCACTTATAAATTTCTTCTTATTGAGGCGGTGAGCACTAAACATAGTGACTCGACTTATTCCCTTCTATGAATCAGATCGATTCAATTTTTCATCCATTCACGTTTTCATCCGGTCTTTGAATGGGGGGGGGGGGGGGTGTATGTGCGCATTTGAACACCGTTAACACATCTAGGAAATACCAGCCAAATTTTCATCTTCAAAGCTTATCCTAAATGCATATGTTCCAATTAATAGCTTAAATTTGAAGAAAAATTATGTACTTCGTTTTGGCGCAAAACTAATATGATAAAGAAAATTCACCCATAAATCATGCTTTCCATTCTTTTCACATTTTTATAAAGGCATTTTTGTGTTTTGTATGTGCAGAAAAATCGAAGTCACAAAAGCTGAAACTTACTGCTAATTCACTGGTGAAGAAAATTAAGGAACCCGTGAAGGAAACGGGAATTTGTAAGGGAGTAGATTTTTCGTTTTAGCTGCACGAAATTCTCGAATTTAAGTATCTTTTAATGTTTGCATGCTTCATTGGATGTTTTAAAATACATGGTTTTTTTTTCTTATTAATTATGCATACCGTATCCGACACCAAATACAGCCTTTGTAAATAGTTTGGGTACTCAATCGAATACTGCTTAAATAGGTACTAGAAATTCACCAATTTCATTTAATTCTTTTGTTTCTTTTGAAACTTGATATTTAGAACCGAATAAGACATATTCGAATCAAAATTTATGCAATGAGCACATGACCGAATTTTATAATCCATCCTTGCTCTTAATTACAAGTGGGAGAAAATGGAAACAAATTTTTGTACTAATTGACAAGGTTAGACGTGCGCGCACACAACGCACACAAACACACACACACACGCACAAACTCACTCTAAATGTCTGCAAATGGCGAAGACATTTTGTTAATCTGGGCAGAATTTTGGCATATATTTTAACTAAACGCTTGCCTTATCTGCAAATGCATGCCAAGTGGTAAATTCTCTATGTTTTCCTGATCGTACTTTTATTTAGTACATAGACGGCTATTTTTGTTTTCAATTTGACCCTTTGCAAGCTTTTAATTTAGATGAGAATTCTCAATGTCATACTGATTCATCAAGAAATTATGCTGCGCAATTACCCAGCTCCGCTCAAAATTTGACTGAAAGTACACAACATTGTAAGAAATTGAGTGTGAATAGTTAGAACCGTGACTGCCTCATACCCGAGTACTGATCTCTAGCTTATTAGTTCCTGTGTTTGATCAGTGTTAGCTGTATGCAACTTATTTAATTTTTTTTTGGCGAAATTTAATAATATCTAGCTTTTCTCAGGAAATAAATGTGTTGAAAGTCAAAACTGATAGAGCGGCTTGATCAAATCAATGGGTCCTCGATATATTTAAGAAACGGGAAAATGTATGCCGCAGTTGGTATTTCAACGTGATTACTCCTTAGTTTAGCTCAGTTTGCTCTGGTGTGATCCATTTATTGTTCTGAAAACCTTTGGTCAAATTTCTAACGTTATCTGATTGCTGTACTGGTATCTGCACTGAGTTATTTCAATAGTTCGGAGCCTTCTGGGTTTAGCCAAAACATGGGTGTTAAGCCGCTTTCATAGTATTCACACCTTGCGATTATGCCATTCATGAACTTGAAATGAAAAAATTAGGAGAATATGTTTGTTTTTACAAACGTTAAGAAAAAGAAGAATTTAAATAATTTTTTTAAAATATAATTAAATTAAAATTATTCCATATCGATAAATACTACACCCACAAGCATATATCTAAGCATTCAACTCATATCAGGACTATATTTCGGTTTTAATTAAAAAAGATAGAATAGAGAATAATTAGAAAAAAATGACTATGTTTTGGTTATCAAAATTATTAAATAAAAACGATTTAAAATGATCAATTATTACATCTTATTTAGGGAATTGATATTATAGACGGAAATATAAGACTCATTAGAAATTTCTAGCCTAATTTGTCATTAAATGAAAGAAATAGTCCAACAAATCCATTTTGTCCTCTGAATATTATACAAAAATTGCATAAATCGCCTTTAATTTGCACTATAAGAGCAAAATTCATACAAATAAATGAAATTATGAAAAAACTTTTAATTTGAATTTTGCGCCAATTTTTGATGTAAACGAAACAGTAGCGTTCTGAGTTCAATGTGAATTTGAATAGTCACGAAGAGGAAACAATTTTAATCTTCATTTGAAAGTTGGATTAATTTTGAATTCGTTTTTTAAGAATTATGGCATGATAAATTTCTGTTCTTGTCTTGAGCATGATAGAATGCTATTAAGTAGTTTGTTCTCCTTAAGAGATTTTTCAGCCCAATTTTAATGAAAACGAATATGTGTAGATGAAAACCCACAAGATGGTTATCCACGGCGAGGTTCTGAGCTAATTCGACCATATGACACTTCCACGACGCCAGTTTCCATGGAAAGGCTGATGAAGGAGCATACACCACCTGAACCTAGCATTAATCGCAAGAGTAAGCATTCAAACAAAAAGATTGCGCCTCATTAACTGTGAATTGGACATATTTTCTTCTAACTGATTTTAGGTTGATCTTTTTGGTATACTTTAATTATTCTTTTATAATTTATCGAACCTTGCCATTTCAGTATCTACGCCTATCAATGAACTCATTAGTGTAGGTAAATAATTTGAAACTTTTAATAAGTCAAGGATTCTTGTTCAAGTCAATTTGTGGTTGGTGCTTGCTCTTCCTCCAGTCTTAAGAAATTTGCGTCTTGGATTGTAATTCTTTGAGGGAGACCTTATCTTTTCGGTTGGACCTCATAAGGCGTTCATTTTACATTTTTCGCTCGCTAACAATGATAAAGTGCACATGAGCAATTCAATCTGAGAGCCCACTTCAGTTATGTTGGAAGGCGAAATATCCTAAGTATCAAAAGTAGACTTAATGCCCATTTAGGGAGGTAATTGTCTTCCGAGGGTCATAAGAAGTAACAGTCTTTTCCCGAGAGGGAGGGGGAGAGAGTGGGCTATTAGTATAGTGACACTAGATGATAGATGAAAGCGAAATAGATTATAAAGAGGCAGGTGTTATTTCCGATGGAAGACACCCAGAGATGTGGAAAACAGGCGGAATGATATTCGATGAGGCGTTTGACAAATTTCTTTCCAAGTTTTCGGTGGGTACGCAATACTTTTCTTTTAATCTTATGTAATCCATGTCGATAATGTAACATTGCTAGTTGGAATTTACTTGAAGATTATTTTTACTGAATTAGATTAGGTATACCGTAAACGACGCAGTTGAAACTTACTGAGTACTTTTAGAATGCGTCGGGAATGTCGGTTTATGTACAACGAGACTACATTCAAAGGTCTGAACATTTAACTATTCATTTATATCAAATGGAAGGCGTTTTGATTATTATCATTAGCCCTTGAGCTGACCTCGGGCTTCACAGAGGGGAGGAACATCAAAGGGAGAAAAATTCGAGAGGGGATGCAGAAGACAGATTCAATGATGTGAAAGAGACAGATAGACATAAGGGCAGAGAAAAAAGAGAGCGAGTAATGTGGAAGTGGTAGAATATGACATACATTGGGGTCATTTTAGTTTGAGGTCAGAAGTCAACTGCCAGTTAATAGACTTTTTGAGATATGAGCAAACGTTGTCTTGGATGTACCACATGGAAGTAAGTCTATCGCACACCCCAAAGTCTATACATGGAGGCGCAATAATTGATGATTTATCACACTAAAGCAGAAATGTGCGCATTGCACACGAATGCAACAAACATGCTTGATTCTTCTCTTGACACAAATCCTGTGGTATGCATACTTAGAGAGCTTCAAGCAAGGGTTTTCAATTAAATGTGTTTGAAAAGGTGTGTCTCGTTAGGGCCTTAGCAGCCTCCTTAGTGGAAAAAATTAGCCATTCTGATAAATCTATCATTGTGTAGGACAGCATTTTTTAGGAAAATAATTATCTCCACGTAAGTGATGATAAATATCATAAAGCCTGCTATATGATATAATAAAAGTTTTTGATACTATCTAGGAAATTCTTGACAAGGGTATTAAATATCATCAGAAAAATATCTCTGATTGCCTCCAGTGATATACAAATGTAATATCCCTGATCGATGGTCCATATCAATAAGATAATAGCTAAACATTTTTCTGCAAAATATCATCGAAAGTCCTGCTATTATTTTACCCAACATCTATATCAAAAGAGAATTTTAGCAAAATAGTAATATTCCGAGTAGATATGGTGGATCTTGTTAAATAGTTGCCAGCAGAGAATAAACGCAAAATTCTTCAATTTCTTGTCATTTAATCAATTTTACAGACACTGACACAACAATTTATTGACTTTAGGTGGTGGTGGGGGGGATGAATAGAGAGAATTCTATGGCTTATTCTAGCCCCAGGTGAAGTATTCCCTACTGAGCTCTGGAAGAAACGGAGGGTTGATTAGTCATTACAGGTCTTAGAAATAAAATTAATTGCTGTGTGTGCTTGGGATGGCCTTAAAGGAGTGTGAATCAATCCAGATGGTATGGGAGATTACGAAGTGGGTAACCACGTAGTAATGCCACAATACATACCGCGTGAATGGGTAGCATATGGGTGATGGAATATTCGCCTTTTATCAAGCGGGTTGGAATTTTATTCCTTCAAATGAAAACTTCCTTGTGTTTTACATGTTAATTGCCACTTTAGAGGCATTATTTCTTAATTACTTATCAGGAAGGATCGTAATTTGTTTTTTTATTGTTGACTGATAGCATTTAAATAGAAAGCCTAAAGAAGAACGTAATTAACAGTTACCAGCAGCATACAATCACATTACTAAAAGAGTAAATTGTGGTATCAGTTGCGGATTTCAAAATTAGTTTGTTCCAATTATCATCAGTAATTTTGTATGTTCTATCAATTGTATATAAGATCAATTTTAAATGAAACGTAGACACTGATTAATGATATTAGTGTTGCTTGCATAGGGATTAGAATAGATTTACAGTTTATAGCTTCTCAATTTCTGAAAATGTAAGATTCCAGTAGAAGCGACGTATTCCGTAGGTCAACTCGTACATGGGATTCTCCTTTTTTTATCTAATGAAAATGTCGTGATTTTGTTTAAATCCACACAATTATAAAAGGTACAACATTTGAAAGCACATCTATTCATAGATATTTCGGGAGAAATGGGTTTCAAAATTCATTCACTAGTTTCTTAAATTAATTAACAAGTTTCTCATATCAGAAGCTTTCCTGGACGTCATAAAATAAGTCTTTTATTTTCTTATTAACAAAACATGGATACTTTGAAAACAAAATTGTCACGCAATTTTAATGCACACGATCCATTGCAATTAGGGGAATAGATCTTTATCTATCAGTTGAATATAAAGTAGAAAGCATTCTTTCGTCTGTCGAAAAGTAATAGACACAAACAGAGGAAATTTGAATGAAAATTATGCAATTAATGGGCAAATTTGAATTAGCACGAATCTGTTTCACCTACCTCATAATTAAACTGCTGAAGCAATTCGAATTAATGTGAAAGTAGATGTTTTAAATTTATACAAAATGATCATTTTATGCAAAAATCGAACAATGTTAGGGTGAACCCATCTACCAATTAAAAGAAAATCTTCCATTTGTAATTGTAATTTAATCGTTTTCTATAGAGCGAACTTTTGCCAACTCAGCCTTCTACGGTGGGACCAATGTTTATTATCCAAGCGTGGAAGAGCAAATTGAAATGGCGCGCAGAGTTGCCAAGAGCATCGAGGCTCCAGTTAATCAGGGCTCACGTGGAGCACGTATGTTTGAGTCTCAACAGCAGAGAGTGGAGAAATATGTCAAAGAGGGACCGGAGCCTATTCCTGATCCTATAGAAAATGTAAGCTATTCAAAAGCTCTGGTAAGCTTGCTGTTACAGGTCACCTGCCCTGTTTAGTGTTACCGAATGAAGCATTCCTACTACGCTGCATGCTGTATCATTAACGCGAGTTTCAGGTACTGCGTGTATGTCTACCGTTCAATACATCTACACGCTACTTTCATTTTATTGGTCAAATTCACTATCCCGCGATGTCATTGTTTGCCTGTAGCATGCCAAAATACATGCATTGAAAGCGTGATAAAACAATAGGTAGGGAGAAATAATTAAAACACAGATAGGAAGATAACAATTTATGATGTGGCCTTAACTATAAGATAAGTGCCAATTACGGAAAGTTACACTCTTTAATGTTACAGTGCTTGTGAATGCTCACTGAAGTGTAAATATGTTTATTATTACTAAGGCAGAATTAGAAATAGTAAGCCGAGAAAATACTGGCATGAATAACTACAAGTGGGTTGACTGCTTGATTAGTGAACAGCCTGTGAACAGTGCTTAGGTGCACAAAAAAGGTTCATTTCGGCTTGCCAACATGTACTGTCCTTGCCCACCATATTCCTCGAAAAACTCTATTAAAGGTCTCCATCATTATTATTTAATTATTGAAGTTATTGCCAAGATCATGAAGATGTGTAGTGCATGGATAGAGCTCTGATTGAAATTGCTGTAACCCGTGCGTTACTAATGGCATGCCCCGGTGTTACAGTTCTCATTTGCAGACGGCCTTTCTGTTTTTCTTTGCGCCTGTGATTAGTCATCTTTCTCAAGTCTCATCACTCCTACATCCTCCCTTTTACGCGGTGACGCAAATGAACAACAGGCTACAGCTCAACAACTGGAATATATGATTCCTCCGGTGCCTCCACCACCGGCACCACCCCCACCTCCGAGCTATCCAACCTTGACCTCATCCGCCCCTCCTCCACCTCCAGCCCCACCTCCTCCCCCAGGCCAACCGAGGTCAATTCAAGAGTTCATTGAAAAGATGCAGCTCTTTCCAAAGAATACTCATACGGAGATTTCACCACAGGTATGCTTTGACATCGCCTCTGCTCTGCATACTTCTGGTAGTCGCGGTGGTGCAATGTTTGCGAAGAGACGGGCGAAGGCTCAGAATTGGGAAGTAGAAACTCAAGGTACCAATTCCATGGTATTGGAGCCCAAAGTGGCGGAGAGACCTAAATTGGTTTCAAAACTTGAACAGCAGCATCAACAACAACAACAGGCCTATAGAATTCAGCAAGCACAACAGGCGACTCTACCACAAAGTGTCTTGCAGCTGAATCAAATGAATCCTAGGCCTGAACCAGCTAATATGGGTATGTTGGTGGGCATTAATCATTGGTAAATTCATAAGGTCAATTTTTGGAATAGAAATGTAAAAGCATAAATAGTGAAGACGTAAACGCATTCTCAAAAACGAAGGCCTCTACAACTAATTACGGAAAAAAACTTACATTTCCTGCTTTGAACAGGGATTCTGCCACTCTTCTAACCGAATTAAATTAATAAGTTTACTTAGATCACCACACCTTTTAGCCTTTATGGCTTAACCTGAGCACAATTTGTTCATAAAAGTATGACCAATTAAAGGTGAAAAGTAGTATCCAATAATATCAAGACACGCAAGTGCACGTAGTAGAAGTATGCAGGTGAGTGATCCCAAATGTGAAAAGAGACTTGCTTCGACTTTTTTACTAAAAGCCATTATTTCACTCTTCTCGTACTTATTTTTAATTCCATCTAGATAAGCTGGAGAAGGCAAAATGAAAGTACGGGTAAATTCAGACGATTCTCTAAACCTGATGGCTTCAGACCACATGTTGAAGTCCATGCTCAGTTAAATTAAGCCAATTAATATAGCAAAAGTTAGCACAAAGCATCAAATTGCGAAGTTAAACAGGAGAAAGAGCTGCTTTAATTCTCACCTGAATTTGATACATTTTACATAGACCTAGTGAAATTGCTTGAAACTTAGAGAAACGGGTCGTTAAGTTGGTTATTTTCGAGAATTCGGAGAGCGCACATTCCCATATGATATAGTAAAGGAATTAAGATTTAAAAGTTAATTATTTTTTTCTATTTAGTAATTGAACTTTAACCAAAATCCAAAGAAAACGCCATTTGCTAATTCTTAAAGTATTGTCTCGATCAATTATTTTAAATTGTTGTGTGTGATTAACATGATGTAGAAAAGAAATGCTCCGATTAACTGAGACTATGCAACTTAATAAAATTGCAATTTTAAGTAGCGAGTAAAACGACCATTTTAATTTGTTGAATTATTGGTAACTAAATTTTTCTAATAAATACCACGTGTTAAGAAGATAACAAAACAGTTGTATCTAAATCTGCTCCAATTTCCATTTACAAGGTTATCTTAACTCATGAAGTCCAATTAGTTAAATAAACTGAAAAATATTGAGTAGTTAAGTATGTAATGAGCTTTAAAACTTTGCAAGATCTATATAGAAATAGGTAAAGAGGATCAACAAATGAGTCACTCCTTGAATTTTGGGGGAGAAATTGTAGAATATTCAGATAATGGGTGATTCATCTCTTCAAGTTCTAAAGTTTATTTATTTATTTATTACAAATGGCAGGCGTTTTGATAGCTATCATTAGTCCTTTTGTTGACTTCAGGCTTCACAGAGAAGAGAATGAACATCCAAGCGAAAAATATTCGAGAG